CTTCGCGCGGGTCCCGGGCGGGCGGCTGCCTCCCCTCGGGGTCTGGCCAGCCCGCGCGCTCGGCTCTCCCGCGCTGAACGTCACCGGGCTCGACCAATAGGAAGCGCCGCTTGCTGGGCCGCGGCGGCGATTTAAATTGCGCAGCGCGCGCGCGCGGGCGGCTCAAATCCGGTTTCCCAGCCGCCGCTTCTCCGTCGCCACCGCCGAGCACCAGCACCATGCTCTCCGTCCGGGCCCCGCTCGCCACCCTGGCCGACCAGCGGCAGCTGCAGCTGTCGCCGCTGAAGGGACTCAGCCTGGTGGACAAGGAGAACACGCCCCCGTCCCTCAGCGGGACCCGCGTGCTGGCCAGCAAGACGGCGCGCAGGATCTTCCAGGAGCCCGCGGAGCCGGTGAGGACGCGCGGGCCGGCCGGCAGGGGGCGGCCGGAGCCGCGTTGGGCGCCGGAGACGCGAGCGCTTTGTCTCCGCCGCTGCCTGCCCCACATCCCTTCCCGCCAAAGTGTCCCCCTCCGTGGGGCGCCCTGCTTTCTCCATCCGGGCCTCGCATCCGCCCGGGGGTGCGCGCCTCCGCTGGCCATCTGCCGAGGTGCTGTGGCAGCCCGCCTGCACCCATCCACGCGGCCACGCGAGATTGCTGTGTGAGGAATCGAACTCGGGACCTTGCGCTTGCCAGGCGGGTACTGTACCGCTGACTGTAAGCGCTGTAACCAGGCAGGCTTGTCAAGATCTCACTAGATAGCCCAGGCTGGCCTGGAATTCACGGAGATCCTACTGCCTCAGCCTCCCCCGAGTGAGTGCTGGTATCACAAGCGTGCAACCACCACGCCCGGCACCCTTAGGTTTTGTGGTTCTTTTCTCCCCCAACAACAGAAGAGTAAGGGACTTGCTCCCAGCGTGGAGGAGGAACCGCTGCTGAGAGAGAACCCCCGGCGCTTCGTCGTCTTCCCTATCGAATACCACGACATTTGGCAGATGTATAAGAAAGCCGAGGCGTCATTTTGGACGGCCGAGGAGGTGAGCCAGTTCGGCCCGTCCCGCAGGGTGGGGACAGCTTGTCGGAAGTGCACACGCATTCCTCCTGGGGTGCTTGCCCGCAGGGTGGGGCCGATCTAGTTGCCAAAGGGAATCCCGCCTTGAGTACAGTCGTCCAGGGGTGTGGTTGACCCCCGAGAAAATCTGGAAGGGCGTGTGTGTAGCCCCTTCTGGCACGCTCGTCTCTTTCTTTTGTATTAAAATCGTGAGCTTCTAAACTCGCAGGTGGATCTTTCCAAGGACATTCAGCACTGGGAAGCCCTGAAGCCCGAGGAGAGATACTTTATATCGCACGTTCTGGCTTTCTTTGCTGCCAGTGATGGCATAGTCAATGAGAATTTGGTGAGTTCGTGTCCCCCGCAAATCGTGAATTCACTTAAAAGACCGCAGTTGTATGCCTAGCAGCCGTTTTCGATTTCCCGGGCTATATACATAGGTGACTGGTAGCTTGGGTCGGAGTAAGGGGCGCTTCCTGTTTTACAGTCCACGCTGCAGTTATTTCCTCCTCAGCTCCCCCACCCCCGTGAAGGGGCAGTGCGGCCCATCCTCCGAGCTGCCACGTTCCCTCTCCCTCTGTGGCTTTGGTGGCTTGCGTATGTCTTATAAATCCTTTCCAGAATGAATCAATGAAATGTTAACAGAAACCTTAAAAATAGGAGAGAGCTATTTTCGGATTTGTAAATTGAGCACACATGATTTAAAATGTTGAGCTTTAACACAGAATTGTGTTAGATGTGTATAAAAGCAAACCTTCTTATGTGGGGCGGATACTAGGGATTGAACCCAGGGTCTTTGGACGGAGCCCCAGCCTTTTTGGGGGGGTACTGGGAATGGAACCCAGGTCCTTGCACTTGCCAGGCGCTGTGCCGCTGCCTTATATCCCGTCCCTCCCCCTCCCAGCTCATTTCTTACCTTTTACTTAAGTCATTAAATTGCCTGGGCTGGGCTCCAACTCGTGATCCTCCTGCCTCAGCCCCCAGAGTGCTGGGGTAACAGGCCTGCCCCGCTGTGCCGCCCAAGCAAACCTTTTAATGGTCCTAAGGAATGGAGTGCTTCTGCCAGCATCCACCCTCTCTGCCTTGCCTTGCCTTGCCTTGCCTTGCCGCAGGTGCTTTCTTAAATTTAACTTTGATGTGTTTTATCACCACTAGGTGGAGCGGTTTAGCCAAGAAGTTCAAATTACAGAAGCCCGCTGTTTCTATGGCTTCCAGATTGCCATGGAAAACATACATTCCGAAATGTACAGTCTCCTTATTGACACTTACATTAAAGATTCCAAAGAAAGGTGAGGGCTCAGGTGGGGTGCCTTGTCTTGGAGTTGCTAATCCTTACTTTAGTCCACGTATTTTAGTTCCTGGAGGGGTAGATATGAGTCTAGGTGATTAAGCAGGATGTCTGCGGACATGTCTAGCATTCACGGCTGTGTCTATTTGGAGCAGGGGACCGAGATCACATTCTTAGCTGATGCCTCAGACAGGCAGCATTGTGGGTGAGAGTGGTGTAGGCGCCCAGCAGGTGGGATGGGGTGATAACTGATGTGGGGGGGGTCACAGGGTGGAGGGTAGCTAAAGGTCCATTGGAGTTCCATATGATTATGTTAATTAGTGCAAGTCACAGTGGAAAATTCTGAGAGGAGCCGGGTGTGGTGGCGCATACCTGTAATCCCAGCACTTGGGAGGCTGAGGCAGGAGGATCATTGTGAGTTCGAGACCAGCCTGGGCTACAAAGGCTAGCAGTCTGGCCTCAGCCTTTTCACTCAGAAGTGTGGGGCTGGGTCCCCGACGCAGCTGACCTCTGTCTTGTCAAGCAGGGAGTTTCTCTTCAATGCCATTGAGACCATGCCCTGTGTGAAGAAGAAGGCGGACTGGGCCTTGCGCTGGATTGGAGACAAAGAGGCTACCTATGGTAAGGGCACCCAGGCCCCGTAGAGCTGAGCCTGGTTTTGTAACCAGGGTCACTGCGTGCTGCGGTGAGTCACTGGTGCGTCTCGGGTTGCCCCACAGGAGAGCGCGTGGTGGCCTTTGCCGCGGTGGAAGGCATCTTCTTTTCTGGTTCTTTTGCATCAATCTTCTGGCTCAAGAAACGGGGACTCATGCCTGGCCTCACCTTTTCCAACGAACTCATTAGCAGAGACGAGGTGAGCTCAGCTCGCACCCAGGGCATGGCTGGTAGACACGTGCTTGTGTTTCCTGAAGGGGACCGGGTGTCCATTGTGTTACGGCCACACTGAGTGTGGAAGTTCACATTCCTGTCACCAGCAAAGAATTAGGGTTTTTGTTTGTCTTATTTTGCAGTAGTGGGGACTGAACTCAGGACCTTTGCACTGAGCTAAATTCTCAGCACTCTCCATTTTAAAAAGTCCTTCATTTGAGGCAGGGTCTTGCTAAGTACCCCAGGTTGAGCTCAAACTTGGAATGTTCCTGCCTCACCTTCCCAGAGTGCTGGGATGACAGGCACCACCATGCCCGGCTTTGGGCATAAAGTGTCCTTGAACCCTTCCAGGGCTTGCATTGTGACTTCGCCTGCCTGATGTTCAAGCACCTGGTGCACAAGCCATTGGAGCAGAGGGTGAGGGAGATCGTGGTCAATGCTGTCAGGATCGAGCAGGTGGGTGAGCTGGCTGGGTCCCTCGAGCTGGCTGGAGGACTTGCTTCGTGCTCCTGGTGCTCAGAGCTGTGTTCTCTCCCTAGGAGTTCCTCACGGAGGCCTTGCCCGTGAAACTCATCGGGATGAATTGCACTTTAATGAAGCAGTACATTGAGTTTGTGGCTGACAGGCTCATGCTGGAACTCGGCTTTGGCAAGGTAAAGCACCGTCCCGGCCCTACTGCTGCTTTGGAAGTTGGTGTTCGGTATCTGTATCTCTTCATTGTTTTTTCTTTTGAAGTAGGGTCTCAGGATGTAGTCAGGATGGCCTTGAGCTTGCAGTGATCCTCTTGCCCTCAGCCTCCCTTTATTTATTTTTTGTATCTAGGTTTTCCAAGTGGAAAATCCATTCGACTTCATGGAGAATATTTCTCTGGAAGGGAAGACGAACTTCTTTGAGAAGAGAGTAGGCGAGTATCAGAGGATGGGAGTTATGTCCAGCCCCACGGAGAATTCTTTTACTTTGGATGCTGACTTTTAAATGAACTGGAGAAGTGCTCTTACTTTGCTGATTTTTTTTCCCTTTTGTCATTTAAAAAAAAATCAGCTAAAGTAAATCAACCAGCTACACCATGTATTGGCCACAGTGTTCATTAGCAGCCCCTGTAAAACTGTGTAGCTACCTCAAATCAGTTCTGTTCATTAACGATGCTAGCAGTGTGTCACCCAGGGAAAGGACTCTTAAGCCCAGCCACCTGGGTTCTTTGGAAGCTTGGGTCCTGCTTTGCAAGCAGCCGGCAGCCGCAGCAGCACCATAGCACTACGACTGGGGACCCGCCAGCTGACGGCAGGACTCAGCTTGGAGCCCGGGCAGGTCAGGGTGTCTGCCTCACTGCTTCCAAGCAGGCTGAAGTTTACTAGTGGTAGATAAAACCAGCACTTTACACACAACTGAGAAATGTCCCGCCAAGGGGAGAGCCTGGCATGCTTGGTTTCAACACCAAACGCAGATGTGTTGTACAAGGAGGGTAGCTAAGGTGACGGAAAGAAGGTAAACTTGTGCTGAGGGCATGTAATTTGGAAGCGTTTTAATGAATTGAAATACTCCACTTTTGAAGTCAGTTCTGGGCAAATCTACCACGAACATGGAGTGCCCAGAGGAGACAGTGTGGTTTCTCTTGGATGGCTCTCCTAAATGATGCTTTTACCGATTGTGTTTGAGTAGGTTATGTTGAGACTTGATCTATTTATAGTTCCTATGTCTTCAAGTAGGTTTTTTTTTTTTTTTTTTTTTTTGTCGTGTTTTGAGACAGTCTCACTGTGGTTCAGGCTGGCCTTCAGCTTACTTTGTAGCCCAGGCTGGCCTTGAACTCCAGTGATCCTCCTGCCTCAGCCTCCCGAGTGCTGGGCTTACAGGCGTGCGCCACCACGTCCGGCTGGGTTTTTTCTTTTTTACTATATGCATCCTTTTCAGATATTGCCTACTGTTCATACTTCGGAGAAAGTCACCCAGTAGTAATGAGACACTGCTCACTGTGATATAAACATTTGCCCAAATACATGTCATCTGGCCAATTCTCAAATGAGTAGAAAAGTAGTGGTGTGAAATGTTCACATTTGCTCCATTTGAATACTAGTTTTATTTTTAAATTTTTTTTCAAATCCTAGTTTTAGATGGAGATACAACTAACAGTTTCCAGGGCTACTTTTATTTAGTCTGCCTCTCCCTGGGGGAAGAGCCAAGATGTTCATGGGAAGGGGTGGGTGACTGACACCAGCCCCGGAACCCCCCAAGTTTACCACTTATGTTGGCTATTGGTAGTTGGACCCTGGCCAGGTTTCATTTATTGTATTATCAGTTTTTCAACTCATGTAGTACGAGACCTGTTTTTATCTTAAGTTATTCTTCCCTAAAGTGAGTAAACACAAGTTATGTGACCCTACACCCAACCCCGGGGAGCGCTAGAATGCAGCTTACCCTGCTTGTTGTGAAGCTCCATGTTGGCCTGGCTCTCGGGCTGTGCCGCTAGTTCAGTGCAGGGTTTCCTGCCCACCAAGACCGCCTCCTGCTCTGTTTAAAGGGAAACAGTGTTCAGCATAAAGCGTTTTGAAATCTCTTCAAATTGATTACTGCACAAGTGTGAAGTGATTAAAATAAAACTGTTCTTATGTCAGTTCTTTGGTAACATTTACATTTTAATTCAGGAAGTAATTTCCAGCAGGCGCAGTGGCGCACTCCTGTTATCCCAGCACTGGAGAGGCTGAGCCAGGAGGATCTCTGAGTTAGAGACCCTCCTGGGCTATATAGTAAGATCTGTCTTAGCACCCCTACTCCCCCCCAAAAAAGTAAATTTCACAGTGATTTATGAGAGTATTTGCTTTTGCATTTTTATTGAGACAGGGTCTCACTAAGTTGCTCAGGCTGGGTTTGACCTTGAGATCCTCCCGCTTCAGCCTCCTGAGTGTGAACCACCCTACAAGGCTAATCTGACATTAAAACAGAGTTCCCATAGTGTCCTGCCCATGTGCCAGAAAGCGTGCAATTCTGTGGCTCTTTTTCCACCCCACAGACCTATGGCTGCCAGTCCCAGTCCCTTTGTCCCTTGCCCAGCCCACTGGCCTGGATCCAGTTTCCGCCCTTGCTGCAGTTTCAGACTCGATCCTGCTAAGTCCAGCCTGGGTTCAACCTTGTCAGCCTCCTGTGGTGACAGCTCTGAGGGATCAAGCTGCTCTCCCCTGTGCTCCAGCAGGTTCCCCTCCAGCCTCTGCCCACTGGGCGGCCCAAACCCCCTTCCGACCCCCACCCCACCTCTACTATAGGTGTCACCCGCCCCAGCCTGGTAGGTAGAGATCTCGCGAGGCTGCTGTTCCTCCTGCAGTTGGGAGGGGGTGCGCGCCTCCCGGTGTCCTCCAGCCCAGCAGGCTGCGCCCCTTCCCCTGCCCGCTGGCTGTACTGGGAGTTTTTCTTTGGAGACAGGGTCTCTACCTCTGCTCAACTGCCCAGGCTGGGATCGAACTCAGCTTCGTAGACCGCTGGGACTACAGGCACGCACCACCTAGCCCACTGTTGGGGGCCCGCAGGGCTCCTCTCTGCTGGGCAGAGAGCTTCCGGCAGTAGTTGCCTCGCGACTTCTGCAGGACCCACGAGGTCATCTCGGCCCCGGAAGGGCGGCGGGCGGCGGGGTTTGTCCCCTGGGAGACCCCAGCGTCTGCTGTCGTTTGCTTGGGTGGCACGCGAGGGCACGCAGTACGACCACATCCTGATGTGTCTGCGACCTGCGCAGACTACGGGGGAGCTGACGGCTGCGGGAGAATCGGGAAGCCGGGAGGGATCACAGGGCGCGGCCCGGTCCACTTCGTGTGTCAGGGAGGTCTCGGGGTTCCCCCCTCACTATGGTGGCCCCCGCCCCGAGTTCCATTCTCTTGTGCTTCATGTGGGCTTGTTGCCACATGCGCTGCTCCCGACCCCGGCCTCGATCTGTCTCCCGCGCGGTTTGAGCCGCGTGCTTGGAGCAGGCCGCGGCCCGAGCCAGGCCCGGGAGCCTGGGGAACGCGAGGGCCCAAGGGAGGTGGCGTGTGGGGGCTGCACGTGGCTCCCGCGGTGCTGGACGCAGCCTGTCCCCCGTGGGGACGCGGGCCGCTTCGGATCCAGAGCTGTGGTTCCATCACTCAGACAGCCGCGTGGTGTCTGAAAGCCGCTTCATTAAATGTCGCATGGAATCAAAATAGAAGTCACGTCTCCCGGACAAAGCCCGCGGCGCGGGAGCCAGGCGTGGAACCGTAGCGGGCGGCGTCTCGCGGCGGTGGGGACTGAACCAGGCCAGCATCTGCCGGCACGTGTCTTCCCTCCCTATCCTCATTGCTCACATCTGACCTCCCTGCCCATGTGCCATGGGGTCTGGGGCATTTGGGGACAAGACTCACAGCCCCTCTGTGGCACCCCCAGCACGCAGGTTCACGGGCGGGGGCGGGGTGGGGGTGGGTGCCCACCAGCTCTGTAGCTCCAAGGTACCCCCTCCTCTCTGAGACAGGGTTTTGCTATGTTGCCCATGCTGCTGTCAAATTCTGAGCTCTAATGATCCTCCTGTCTCAGCCTCCCTAGCGCCGGGATGGCAGGCGTGCACTACTGAACCCGGCCGAGGGACAGGTTTAGATGCTGCAGTGTAAAGGTGCAATATGGACGGCAGGGGGCGTCTGAGCTCAGCTGTTGCATGTACTTGGGTTTTCCCAAAAGCCCAGGAGGGCAAGGGGCTGCCATGGAAGACAGACACAAAGGCCCTGTAATCCCAGCACTCTGGAGGCTGAGGCAGGAAGATTGCCACAGGTTCACAGGCAGGCTGAGTTACATAGTGAGACTCGTCCTGGGCTCATGACCCTTGAGGAGCGACACGGAGACAACTTAGGTCGGGGGAGGATGCACTTGTGAGAATAGCTCAGGTGTGCAAAGGGCCTGTTACAAGCCGGGATGAGGGGCGTGGCCCTGCCCTAGCCAACGGACGCAGGGACGCGCGCTGGCAGTGACACGAAGGGCGGGGCTGAGGAGCACACCGGTGCTGTCATCTGGGAAGGCTTCCTGAGGGGTGGCACTGGGCGGGGCCTGGGACAGTGAGTGTGAGGTGGACCCCTCCGCTCCCCTCCTGACCTGCTCCAGGACGGAGCTCCACCTCGCTCCTCCCTGATGAGGGCTCCTCAGATGCTGAGCTCAAAGATGACTCGGACCCTCAGAGCTCAGTCCGGGCTCCTGGGACATCTCATCCGCGCGCCGCACTTGGAGCCCGATGTCATCCAGGGAGCTCAGCTGAATGCCTCTGCTCAAACTCTAGGCCCAGGCAGAGAAAGGGACATCACCAGCCCTGTCCCGTCCCTGCTAAGGGCCATCACCCCAACCCTGAGCCAGGGATGAGCCAGATCGCTCATCTGTGCCTGGCCTGGGCTCCCCCACAGTCCCCGGGGCTCACCGTGTGGCTGCGAGGGGCAGGAAGTCTTTCTTATCGCTGCAGAGAGCCCTCCACTGCAGGAAGCTCCCGACCCACACTGGCAGCACTTCTGTTCTTAGACTTATGAATAACCCAATCAGAGGGAGTGAGGAGCTCCATTTTATTTACTCTGTAAACCAGCTCCACCTGGGGGACGGAGGTGAGACCCATGATTTCCATGTCTAATGTGGGATCTTAAGTGCCCCGCTAGCCTATTTATTTATTTATTTTTAATTTTAATTTTTTGTCTTTTTGAGACAGGGTCTCACTATGCAGTTCAGGCTGGCCTTGAGCTCACTTTGTAGCCCAGGCTGGTCTCGAACTCGCAACGATCTGCCTGCCTCAGCCTCCCGAGTGCTGGGATTACAGGCATGCACCACCACGCCCAGCTGGCCTATAGAATTATTAGGCTTTCTGAGACAGGCTCTCGATGTGTAGCCCAGGCTGACTCCAACTCTTGGCAATCCTCCTGCTTCAGCCTCCCAAGTGCTAATATTACAGGTGTGCTCCTCCACACCCAGCTGTTCCTTCTTAGGGCTCCAGCTCATAGCTTATAAGTGGCCCAGCCAGGATTTGAACCTGAATTTTTCCTACCCTCTACCCTCCCTGCCTTCTGGGGATTTGGCTGAGGGCTGGGGCCATGGGTGCATCTTTCCGACCCGGTCTTCCATAGCTTCCTCTCTAATCAGCAGTCTTCCGGAGCCCTTCCTGTGGACAGAGCTTGACCAGCTCGGTTATGTCCTCCTGGGCTTCAGAGCCTTCCACCCCTAAGTGTCCTTCTGCAGGATGAGTTAGATGACAATCGCGGGGGTCTGTGCTCGCTAATTTCATTGTGTGTGTCTAGAGTAACAGGGCCTCTCAAGCTCATTATGCTAATT